TCATTTTCATCTAGTTCGCAGTCGATCCATCACAATTGCCAGCGCTGCGCGTGCGTCATCTCATCCATTGCTGACCTGAAACAACGTTAAGTCCGACTTTAGGAGAGCAGAGGTTTGTGTATTATGTTGCCATAAATTGCGATACAACTCATCATTGCCATCATGCCTAGTCATTGTAGTCTTGATGGCAGTTCACACTTAAGCTCGCAACCTTTGCGGTGCGGTTGGTTGACCCGACTTGTGGCTCACATTTTGTAATATTAATGTCCGTGATCGCTAATTCAACCCGAACTGAAACCACGAGATATGTAATTTCCCCCCTGGACATGAGACAGCGGCGTCCCATGAACGCTGTGTGACTATGAAGTGCCTCTCTCTTCCCTTTGGAAGATGTCAATGGGGCTTTTCTCACATCTTCACATCAGACCTTTTGGTGAGATTTAAGCAATAGGATTGAAATGTCGAAAGCGATTCAGAGGATCGTATTTCGCCTTCAGCAGACGAAGCCTATCCAACCTCCAGGCTTCATGACCATACAACTCCTCAATAGGCTCTAGCCCATTGGCGTAGTTGAGATACACATTGGTTGGTCGCTCGGGCTGGCCGTTCACCCAGTGCTCTTTGATTTCATCCACCCACTCTTGTCCTGCCTCTTGTGCAGCAGGACTGTTAGGAGGGACGAAGACCATGGGGAGCATCAGGTGATGATCGTCGCGGAAGGGATAAGCGGAATCGTCGGGGTTTTTGGTCTGCACAGCTGCGGTGGAATACCCTTCATGAACTATAGTTGTCCTCGCGGCGAGTTCTGAACCAGCGGCAAGTCGCTGTTTGAAGCCCTCAAATATGAGGCGCTCAGAGGTCAGGTTATAAACTTGCAACCCTACCGCAGCTATGGCTCGCGCAGTGCCCTTTTGGCAGAAGAAGGATTCCTCGTTCATTTGTTGCGCCGCAGAAATGGAAGGGTAGGGACCGTTGTCTGACTCGTCGTAAACAGACTCGATCGCGTTGAATGGCGCTAGGTGTTGTTCCGCTTCTTCCGCAGACCCACGGTAGGCGAAAGTCCAGAAGATGACGGGCTCTTCGGTCGTTATCGTTCTATTGACCAGAAAGATTCCAAAGTTGGCCGTCATGTTGACAGGGGTAGACCCATTGTTGTGGAAGAGGTTCAGGGCCTCGAAAACCTCCTCGAGTTTGTCATCCCGCCAGACGTAGTTGTGGTAGTGCCACGTATCGGGGCCGCGAGGGAATATGTTCAGCTCAAAACTGGTAACAATGCCGAAACCGTGTCCTGCGCCCTTCAACGCCCAGAACAAATCGCTGTGGCTTGTTTCGCTGACCTTCACGGACTCACCACTAGCGAGGACAACGTTGAGTTGGATGAAGTTGTCGATGATCAAGCCGTAGAGGCCTTCATGTCGTCCATGACCTCCTCCGAGGCCGGGGCCCATCATACCAACGCAGTCGCAGGCTCCCGTAGTGGCAACATACCCGCGATCCCACAAGTATCTCGTGACATTTCCACCATAAACGCCTCCTCCAAACCAGGCAGATGCGCCATTGGGCTGGATATCAATACCGTGCAAGTTTTCCAGACTGATTTGAATGCCCTTGAAGGTGTTGAGCGATTGACTCCAGCCGTGACCGCGGTTCACAGCCAAGAAGTCGATGCTGTTCTCGTTGCAATACTTGACCTAGTAAATCTTTTAGCAATAACCTCTGGATAGTGGGAGTCGATGCCCGAAGCTGTATAACATACGATGATGGATACATCGGATTCTTCTCCAGGTGCGATAACAACTTGAATTTGTGGCGCCGCAATTGGGTTCCACCTGGCAGTCGCGTTGACATATGAATCATCGTCCGGTCCAAAGATGGTGGAGGTTTTGGACACGCGGCATCCCAGTTCTCGTCGAACCTGCTCGGCATCCAACTGGCTGCGTGTGACGGGCACTTTAGTGAAGTAGTTGGGTATGCTATGGGCGAGAGCGAAACTTTGGAGTAACCCGAGGGTCAATAGGAAGCACAACAGTTCGTTCATGTTGAAAAGTGTGACAGGTTTGACTCGGGGCATTGGGGTAGTGTGAGAAACACCTTAATTATTTTTCGCGGATGTTTATCGAATGAGAACAAATCGGGACTGCCTTGCTTATAAGTCGTACAGAAAATGCCCAAGGCTACACTGAGTCTAGGACGCTAGGGAATACGGTCTTGGCCGCTCACCGAGTCTGAGACAAGAATATCCAGTTTCCTATTTCAGCAAGTCGGCCAAGAGATTCCAAGAGTTTTCTTGTGAGACGGGAGCAGGCAAGTGGTCTTTCTTTTCTTTTTTCCTGTAACCTTCTGCCCAATGAATTTTCTAACTTGATGCCTATGCTTACAATTTCGGTCCGTAATTGGTGGATTTTGACAGTATTGAGAAGCAGGCTCTGTGGCTTCACCGAATTTTTAATGTGTATTAACGCATGCATGTTGCATTATTGAACGCAGCGCGTCCACAAGAGTCCACACAGAGAGCTTGGCGTAAGCACACAAACCACCTGCAACTCAAATGTCGCAGTTCATTAGGCAAGACAACCTAATGATATGCCCCAACATCAAATTGGTTTCCTGGAACAGAAGTATTCTCAGAATCAATGTATTTGCAGCAAATAATCGTTGGAGCAGGTTGATTTGGAGGAGTTGCATCAGTGCCGTGAGTGATGCATCAGCTCACGTGGTATGGCTAAAGGGCAGTGCGCGGTTTACTTGTCAGACTTCAGACTGGAAATTAATCACGCTTTCAGCCCATGCCCAATCGTCCAGGCTACCGATACGGTCTACAGCCTGCAAGTCGCAAGTCGCCAAGTGCGACGAGAAGTGACCCACAGCGGCGAGAGGGAAGATCACATGTTAACGACGATGAACCATGAAGGGCTCTCGCTACCGAGTTTCTTGTGGTGTTTTAATTTTATCCCCAAACTGTAACTGTAATTGCTCAGCAGAAATTTGGCCTTACGTCGTGGCAAATTTTCTTTGAATGTCGATCAGTCTTACAGATATATGACCTTGACGTTGTGATTCCTTGCTAATTTGTCCAACATGTGGTCCAAATGCTTTCGGTTATTCTTTACCCGAAACCAATCTTTTCCGTCATTATCCAATTCCATTTCAGTGTACGCGCGAACGTCAACTATGCGCAGGCTCCGGTATTGAGACTGACAGTTAGTATTAAGGACCACGCTTAGATTCTCGAGAGAAAGCAAGACTTTCGTAACGGAAGATTCCCGTGAGAACCGGTCAAAGTATATCGGGACAAACTCCAAAGTCTGTAGTGTCCGTCCTACATTTCCAACATCTTGCTGAGACTGTAAGAATTTTGGATCCCCAAGAATGTCAATAGGAAGCAACCATCGAAGATTATTGGTTTTGATATGCTTTAGAACCTTCATGCTAGAAATTGCTCGGGCCATATCCGAATGGTTTGTTTGGTATCCTACCCACACAAGGGTCTCCAGCGTGCTCCCAAGACCCAGGAAAGCGTTCTCAGGCATCTTGTTGAAGCTGTGATAGTTCGAAAGTAGCTTGAGAGACGGAAGCCTTAATAAAATATGCTCTCCGTCACCTGAAAGAAATCTACAGTCGTTGAAATATGCCTCTCGAATATTGCTTAGGATGGGAAACCCGCGAGTTTTGAAGAAACCATTCATCGACAGCCGTTCTAGACCGGGTAGCCTTGAAAGAAGTCTGTACAAATTGTCTTCATATACTCCTATATAGTCGCGAATTTCCAGAGACCTCAGATTGACCAGGTTGCTGAGCAGATCCAGCTTAAGGTATGGTTGAATGGATGTTTGCGTATACCACAAGGTCTGGATGGAAAGATGTTGAATATACGTTTGCACAACGGGATGTGAGGTGATCCTTTCGAAGAATCTTGCGACCATTCCATCAACTCCAGAACGAATGACTGGTGTGCGATAAATCACTGTGCCGCATGTGGCAAAGAGGTGTGAGCTTGTTGCGGTGAGGTTGCGGATATCTTGATTTCGTCGGACGAATTTTCTGTAGGCTAGCGGCTCCGACCCATCTTCGGTAGGCTTGTAAGACAGTAGATCCCGACTCCAGTAAATCTCTACGACAGATTCGGCTGAAATGTACTTCAGCGGCGGGCCGATGTGCGGGAAGTTTGCGTCATCTTGTAGGTGCTTGGCGATCTCGACCAGAATTTCCGTGGGAAGCTTTTCGAAACTACTCAAATTCAAGTTCCGCTGTGCTGCCTCGGCTGCAGCTTGTGTCGGCATTCTGTCGATGTGTGAAGTGTTGTGTGGTGTGCAAGTGCGCATAGAAGAACGCATAAAATTGTTGATTCAGACAAAAACAAAAGCTTTTAAATCGAGGGTAAGGCTTTTCCCTTTCAACGGGGTACCTGTCTGGGTATCACGTTTGGGCGCATACGCTACACTGGCAGAGATAAAGTTTTCCCGTCTGTACCTTGATGATATCCAGACGGAGTTTCTTCCTGTCTCCAGGGCGATGTCCTGAGCGTATGCACCCAATAAACCTGGTGAGTTGGCATGCGCTTCACAGGCTTGACGCATGAGGAAAAGGAAGTAAAAAAAGAAAAAAAAGGAGTAAAAACGCGTGACTGTTGCTGTGAACTCTCGTTTACGGCTGGTTGGGCGCCGAAGCTTCGAAAGAGTATGTTTGCATACCAAGGCTGAAATAATTCTCATTCCATGCCCAGAATAAACTGGTCTCACTACGTTCAACCGCATACATGGTCATCAGCGACTAGCAACTCCACACCCAACCTCCGCAGCCGTTTTTGATAGTCAGTCAGAACCTCTCCTACATCCGTGAGGGGAGGCTTTCCTTTCGGTGTCAGACCTACTGCACGAAGGTCCACGATCCGAATTCTGTTAGATTCCGTATGGCACCGCGTTTCAATCCAGCCCAAGACTGATGCCAATTGAGGGGACGAAACCCCTTGTGACCTGCCACCAAGGTACCACGAGGGTATCTTAAACACCGTGTGAAGCTCGAAAGTCTCCAAGCTTGGCATGAAGTCATCTCTTTCTGGGCCATCTCCCGTACGCAAGACGTAGCTTACGAAATGGTACCAACAGAGACTGAGACGCTTGACCATCGTCAGGCGAGACAACGGAACCTCGGCTTCGAGGAAACTGTTCAGACACGCGCCGGAATGCTTGTGCGACCAGCCGAGGAACTCTAGCTGGGGTGCGATATGATCGAAATGTTGCGACTTGCAATCATCAACACCCCAGGAGGCGTGGAGTGAGTTGTAGGCGGCCAGCGATCGAAGAGCTGGCAGCTTTTTCAAGATCGATTCTGCCTGCGGTCGTGTGTCCCGCCAACTTGGATTCCAGGGCGCGCAGTTGTAAAAGTGCGCCTCGGTGATTCGAGGCAAGTGTGGTAGATGCAGTTCGAGGCCCCTGAAGTGTTTGAACGAAATGCGTTCCAAGGCGGGGAGCTTGGGTAGAAGTCTGCACCACTCCACGACGTGCTTTGGCTCCTTCACCCACGGCTCCAGGGCAACGTCCAGGCTTCTCAAAATCTTCAGCTCCAGAGCGTCTGCGTTGATGCGATTCTTCAATCGAAGCAGCGGGAACCAGTTCCACGATTCGCAACTTGACTGTTCGAACATATCATACACAACAGTCATTTCGCGGACGAAGTCTTGAAGATGGTTCCGTTTGGCAATGTTGGCAAGCAGGCTTCGTACACTCCTATTACTCACAGCGACCGGTGCGCGGTAGCGGCTCACATATAGAGCGAAGAATATCCGTCGGCTCGTGAGTGAAAAGTTGATGACATCTCTGCATGGCTTCGGACGTCCTCCTCTGCGCAAGTGGGCCAATGTTTTGCGGTCGGCATGTCGTCTACGGAAACCCTTTACCTCGTCATGGTGGTGACGGTACGAAGCAGGGAAGTGTGGCGCCCATGGGTAATACTGGCATGTCATGCCATCAATTGATGTATAAGTGCGCTCCGGGTCGCTCGCCGGGAAGATTTCGGTTTGGAGGTACTCGGCGATGTTGATCAGTATTTCGCCGGGCAGATTGTTCAGGTTCGGCTTTGCGATCGCGTCGGTTTCGTGCGACGACGGGCCCTTCCCGCACCAAGTCGGGAGCACAATAAATTGGCGCCAAGGCATCGCGCCTGATTTACGTACCAGGTAGACGCCCACGCGACTGATGGATATTCAAGGAAGAGCGAAGGTGAGCATGTTGCTATCAACATCAGTCACGAAATGTGAAAACCTTATAGTAACTGGGTAAGCTCAAAAGAACAAAGACCAGCAACAAGAATTGACATCAAGGACCAGGCTATGAGGAAATGTTTATGTAGTATGTACGCTATGGCCGTCCAGGTAGCAATTTGGTGCTCAAAGTTTCCCATAATGATGCTATCGCGCCTTTATTGGTTGCTCCTGCAGCCAGGAGAACTAATTCGGCGGCTTGGACGACGTGGCAAATCGCTACGAGAGAAATTCGAACGCTTTACGATTTTGAAGCTGCAATAATACCCGCCACAACGGCAAAAGCCTCCAGTATTTGCCTGTGAATATCCAGTCTCTTCCAATCGGCAGCCCATCCGCGAACTTCCTCAAGGCTAGCGCCACCGCTGGAACTATCATTTTTCTTGGGGTTGACGATTCGTTCGTGTTCGGCGAGGAGCTTGTCGTTGACGGGAAACACCCTGAACTGGGTGTATGGCGCCACGGACCCCATAAGGACAGCCGCGGCGAGGTTGTAGATAAAGGCAGGGCTTTCGGTGCCATCTGTAGAAGATAAAAATAGCACGAAACTGTTAGACAAATGGAAACGAAAAAAAGGCTCTTTGGTGTGTGTGTGCCGCATTTAGGTTTGTGCCGGCAGCGCGGCGAAGAGATAGGGGAGGGGCCGAACCCACCTTTCCAAGCAAGGAAACCGAAAACGGCCGCCGTGCCGGTCACCATTGTGGGGCCGTACTTCCGGCCGAAGTCCCACCCTCGGAACCAAAGCTCGGTGATTAGGTCCTTATCTCGGAGCTGCACGATGCTGTGCATGGCGAGTTTATCGCTGCCATATTGATATCCTGAAATTGTTAATAAGGCCTCGGGGCTTCTTCTCGAGCGTGGAAAGAGCGATAGTCGTTGCCCAACATACCTACGAGGTGTGCCGCTCCAGCAAGGTTGACCAGTTGTAGCACACGGGTCCAATTGATACCCTCGGCCATGTTGAACGAAGGTTCCGTCTGAAACCGTGGGTCAGATAAGGGTCGTAGAAGTCAGGGTGTGGTTAATGCGCTTGAAAATAGGCAGGCGAGATGTGCGCGATAGTCGTGATCAAACAGCAAGACCAGCTTCATCAACAATTCAGCGATTGTCGTTCATTTTGACTATTAGATCCATCCCACACAGCCCGCAGCCAAACCGTTGACAGCCCCTCATCTTGGTAATCAATTTCGTCACCAGTACGTTCTGATCCCCAGATATGCAACATGTGCCGCCATCCCGCCATCCCACCGGCACACCAAGCCCACAGCCCCTAGTAGACGCGGGAGCCGAAATAGCGCGACAGCGAAATCTCTTTTAGCCCCGTCTCTCGGCTAAGCAGCAAGGCTTGTCTCAAGTCAGACAAGGCTGTATGATAAGGCCAGATTGGACAGAAATCCTGTTGTCACGTGGGGCTCTGACCAAGCCCAACCCCGCGTTTCGGCAGTCGGGACGCTAAACAAAGGGTCACGATCAGAGCGCGCAGCATGTTCGAGCGTATTTCACCCGTCTATTTGGTGCTAGCTGGGTCCATAATGGACGCCCGTCCCTTTTAACGGCTCTAGTACAAATGGTTTGATGTTCTCAATGAACTCTCTGTCGCTCTCCGTGTGCTTCATGCACCAGCACCAAATGGCCATTCCCAGGCACCGGTCCCAGGAGAGGAGCGGGAGCAGCGGCTTGTTGTCCATCATCATCACGGCCTTGTCGCACATTCTGCTGATTATCAAAACGTCATCTTCGCCGTCGTCGAGGAGTTCGGGGTCTGTCGGTATCATGCCGAACCACTGCGCCGCTGGGCCGTCCCACATCATCAGCGGCATCGGCACCTTGACTCTGAGCATGGCTGGCTCTGCGTTTCGGGATATTCGGAGCGCGGGGTATATCGTAATAAAGACTGCTTGAAGTATCAAATGTAGTTTGAATTGAAAAACGGCAAGACTGTTGTCGCAACGGAATTAGCAAAAGCTCTCGTGATTGTATGCTTTAGAGCTGAAGTAAATGACAGCGCCCACTTTCAGTACAAGTTTCCCTCTTCTTATGAAGAGACATGTCCTCAACATCAGATGAACCTCCTCAGAGGAGTCTACTGTATGTGATGCTTTCAACGAGAAGGGGGCTGTGGACATACCGCTGATATGATTCCCGGAAAACCCAAGGATATCCACTATTTCCACATAGCTGCGAAGCTGCGTTAATCTTCGACTGGTCGTAGATGCCCGTCGCTTTGAACGTCTCCAGGAGCATTGCGTGCGTCATCATCACGTTCTCCATCGTTTTGTCTGCCCGGTACGGCACCAAGATTGTTGAAATCAGCATAGCTTGGAAGACTGGTAGCAAATCTACTCGAGGGGACAGCATGCCCCTTCTTGATTGTTCTAATAGTTCGAGCTGTAGAGACTTGGTGTTAGCGTACTGCGTAACGGTACTGACTCGGGTCGCATTTACAGTGGAAACCAATTTGCCCGTACGCTGTAAAGGCTAACGCAAGCAAAAGAGAAGCTATCAACACTTACGATTCTGTTGCCTACCTCTACTAAGAGGTGGTCGTGGAACCTGATGGCGAGATCTCTCGACCCCGGTGCCGAGGCAAACCATAGTCCAACGGTGATGACGGCCTGCATCAGCAGCTTAGGCTGCATCGTGGACTCGAACGTCTCCCTGTGCAGCATCGGCCACTGGGGATGGAAGTGGTCAAAGTAGACTCTCTGCAACTGCATCCTCATGCCCTCATCCAACATCGATCCAGGCGCAAAGTCGAATGTATCGGTCATCGTCATCGGTGCCGGTGGCATGATAGTCTGCGTAAGCAAGCCGGTGGGCGACATGCCCGTTGTCAAGGGGTCCGGCATGATGGCGGGATTCGAAGGCGCCATGCAGGCAGCCAGCATGCTAGAGCCAGTAGAAGGGGACGATCCCACCGCTCGTCCTGGCGATGGTTGCTTGCCGCGCGGCTGCGGCCACTCGCACGATCTCCCCTTATCGTTGCACGTCGAACAGGCGGGTTGCTGACCATCGCATCTTGTCTTTGTGCGATGGCACGGGACGCAGGCTTGTGCTACGCGTGTTGGCGGGGCAGTCGGGCCGTGGAGAACCATATGCCTACGAAGAGTATCTCTATTATGGTGTTTTCCGCGTGTTAGTCTAGATGTTGTTCGGGTTCGGGTCCGTTTCCGACCAACGCGAGATGGCCTCGGGTGCCGAGCTGGTGCACCACTTTGACACTTTCTCTACAACCACCACAACAACGACAACTCGCAACAACAACAACAACAACTGCAGAAGCGGCAACTGTATTGACATACCCTCTTGTAAATTTTGTACCGCATGACGGGCAGCAAAAAGATGGTGTAGCCGCGTGCTCCTTTTTGTGACGCGTGAGGTGCTCTTTGCGCAGATAGGAGCGGCCGCAGCCGTCATGGTCGCAGGTGAACGGCATTCTGGGCAGCTCCAGCGTACGGAAGGAACAGATCCATCGCACTGGAGAGTTGGTTCCCAATACAGTTGACTAAAGGATGAGTAAAAAAAGGGCCTGGCAGTAGAGAAGGGGCTCGGTGCATAGAATAGCACCGGTGCACTGGTGCGCTGTGTGTTGAGATGTTCGGACAGGACCTTCGCTTGACTCCGAGGCCCCCTGGGAAACTGTGGGGCCGGGGCTAAACCTCGCGCGGCAGCTGTACGCGCCAAAGCTCGCTAATGATTGGTCTCCCACCCTCCCGGTGCTTATTAACACGCGCTGACTCAGCGAGTGGGATACCGGTTTTGTGGGTCCTAGGGCCCCGGGGCGGGGGCTCCGGACGCCGAGTCTGCTGTCAATCCGCCGGCGAGCCGGTAGGAGGGCCGTTGAACACCACGGAGCTTATGAATGACGGTTTGAAGAGCCCCGGGCACGCCGCCGGTGATATAAGAGTCCACCGGAGGGCTAGATGTCGCGATATGCAGTCGAGAGAGAGAGACAGCTCGAATACCTTCACAGTAGATAGAGGGAGGGCACACCGACGAGACAGACATCCCGCTGAAGATTTCGCTTTCTGAGACACCAGTTACTCCTCACCTCGCACACACGGCAGAACAATAATGGCTGCCCTTAGAAAGATAGCCGTCATCGGTGTAAGTACATAGTCCCGTCCCCCCTCCCGTCCCCTCACCTTGCTCCCCCTTACCTTTCCCCTCCGGGCTCCAGCATTGACCAGTGGCCCGCACGTGGCAACTAAAATAGGGAACGGGCGACCTCGGCCATGTCATCGTCCAGCAGTTGGTTGCCGCCGGCATCTTCGACGTTGCCGTCGTTACCCGAGACTCCCGAGACACACGAGGCAAGATCCCTACGGGCGCCAAGGCCGCTGAAGCCGACTACGAGTCCCTAGAGAGCCTGACCGCAGCCTTTCGAGGCTTCGATGCCGTCGTCTGTACTCTGCCAGGCCATCTGGAAGCCTTACTTCTGCGCATTCTCGACGCCGCCATCGCTGCGGGCGTAAGGCGCTTCATTCCCTCAGAGTTTGGCTCAGATCACCGCCAGCCGGCCGCCCACTCCGTCCCTCTCTCCGCGAGCAAGATCAAGGTGGACAACACACTTCAGAATGCCGCCGCAGAGGGCCGCATCGAGTACACGTCCATCTTGGGAGGACCATGGATCGAATGGATCATGACTTTTGAGGAGGGCATGAGCATCCCCGAGCGCAAGTTCTTCATCCACGACGGCGGCGACATCCCCTTCGGCCTCACCACGCGAAAGGCGTTTGGCGACGCGGTTGCGGGCGCGCTCAGACACCCCGAAGAGACCAAGAATCAGATCTACACGATCGAGGTCATCAGCCTGACTCAAAACCGCATCCTGCAGCTCGTCAAGGAGGCCCTGCCCGACCTCGAACTTGAGATTGTCCATGTCAACACCAAGGAGCGCTACGAGCGAGGCGTCAAGAAGCTTGTTTCGGGCGTCTTTGACATGTCTGTTGTGGGGGACATAGTTTTGAGATTCGTCTTCGACTCGGAGCTACAGCTTACGTCCGACACCAAAGCCGCCAATGAGTTGCTCGGTGTCGAGAGGATCACCGAGAACCAGTTCAAGGAGCTCGTCAGATCCTTGGCCAACTGAAACTGGGGCCGCCAATGGAAAGCAACGTTATGCGCGTGCCTTACGTCGTTAAGCACAGCAAATGTCGGTCAAAACTAGCAAAGAAATGTGTAGTAGCGACTAGTATTCATAAAAACCAATTGAGAACAGCTGAAACTCAAAGAGGTCTGTAAAGATCCGACGGGAGGTTCCATGAGCCTGGAAAAATTTGTAAACCCGCGGCATTATTGCCTCAAAGCGGACATAAGTCGTTACGCCAAAAAAGCGCCAAGCCAACGCTACAGCTCTGCCTAAAGGCCTCTAGACCGTTAGTCTGATGCTCTAAAGACCCTCCTAGAGACGGAGAAATAGAGTTGCCCACGGCCGCCGGCTATCCACTGGCCCTCCCCTGTACGGGATGTGGGCGGCGTCTCCCGAATTGCCGGAATAGGACATGGCACGGTGCCTACGATGAAGCTTAATGAGTAATGAACTCGTTGGCGCCCATCGAAAGAACGGACGGACGGAACCAACAAAAGGACCAGACGAGAACGAGATGCAGCAAGAGCTTTGACAACAGCCCTTGCGCAAATCGCCAATGACGATGGAGAGATCAAGATGAGAAACCCAACGGTCGCGACCAGTCACTCTTTGGGAGCTCACGGCGATTCCCACAGACGGATACGGCCCGAAAAGAAAACGAGATGACCATTGATGACGGCACGAGCCCAACGATGAAGGCCCGAACGGTCTACGGCTCCTGAGCCGGTGATCGATAACGCCATCGGGTTCATGACCCGAGTTGGCACCAACCCTCATCCAAACTTGGGCCGAAGTTCGAACAAACTCAAGCACGGCAGCAACACTCAACTAGTCAGAAACGCTTTCTTGGATTTCTTTGCTTTGCCGCTCCACGGAGCCGACAACGGGCCCGTTCAGAACCAGTCCGACAGGGCCGCTGGCGAGCCTACGTGGCATGGAAGTTTAAAATAGGAATATCTAGTCGAGGGCAGGCAGCGCAGGTTGGCAAATACCCCGCCACACCAAGTCCTCTCGTGAAACCGTGCGCCCACGGACGCTCAACGGTCTCATCGGCACCCACGCCGTGTGATTGGTCAGTAACCAGGTTTTAACATGTCTGTTGTAATGTACAAGTTGGGGTGAAAGAGGGAAAAAAAAGGTCTTTGCCCTGGAACATTTTTATATACACTCTATAAGGTAAGCAATCCTGTTGGTTATGCGGGGCTTGTTCCGAACCTGCGCTTGCGCTTCCACCTTCCGGGTATTGATAGCCCGGGTCTAGTAGCTGTAGCGGAACTGCTTGTTCTCCTTATCAGTCATCGAGGCCCAGACCTCGGGGGCCATGAAGGCGTCCTCGGACTGCTGCTTGGCCCCGCGTCTCTTGTTCTCCCAGCGGTAGTAGGCGTACAGGGCCAGCGTGACGACGGCGCAGCCGGCCTGGGTGCCCATGACGGCGATCTTGGCCGGGCGGTAGTCGGGGGCGTCGCGGGCCTGGAAGGTCTGCGGGCCGATAATGTTGCCGAGGGAGAAGGATCCGCTGACGATGGCGGCGGCGAAGGCGCGCTTGGTAGCGCCACCAAAGTTGGCGGCGGTCCACTGAAGAATTTTCCCGTTAGACACACTTCTTTTCTTCATCTGCCGTGTCTCACTCCAAAACTTCACGTGGGGAGAGAATGAGGAGGGGCTAGGCTACTTACGGCGTAGAACACGGTCAACGGAGCGACGACGGCGTTGACGAGGTAGATGCCCGCGAGGCAGCCGGCGCGGTTGCTCACGGGGAGGAAAGACATCAGAGCGCCACCGATGATGCTGGAGCGCGAAGATTAGCAAGGTTTTTCTTATTTCTACCGTTCTCCCCCTTCTCTCGAACGAGTTTGTTTGTGACATACGCTGGGATGATGCAGGCGACAATCCAGGCCCAGCGGTTCGACTGGTAGCGAATACCGTATCCGACGAGGAGCGTGAAGAAGATGCTCACAACACCGGAGGGCATGTTCATCAGGGCGGCGTGCTTGGAGTCGTAGCCCAGGTTGCGGATAAGAGTGGCAGAGTAGGTGGTGACGACACCGCTGGAGACGGAAAGCTGCGGGCTTGTTAGCGAGGGCAGAAAGTTGTCAGGGGTTTTGCGGTACGCACGAGGACAACGGCAATGGTCATCAGGTACATCTGAGGGTCCATGAGCGCCTCGAGGATCTGCTTGGGACGGAACTTGCGGCTTTCGATGCCGGTCTGGTTGACGCTGACGTGCTTCAGCAGGGCGACCTTCTCGGTGTCGCTCAGCCAGCGGGCCTTCATCGGGGTGTCCGGGACGAAAAACAACGTGGTCAGGCCGATGGTGACGGGGACGCAGCCGAGGACGACGAACATGATGCGCCAGCCCGCGAGGCCGGCGCCGGGGGCGACNATGGTGACGGTGACGCAGCCGAGGACGACGAACATGATGCGCCAGCCCGCGAGGCCGGCGCGGGGGGCGACGTGCTGGAAGCCGTAGGAGATGGCGCCGCCGAGGATCTGGCCGAGGCCGAGNGCGCCGGGGGCGACGTGCTGGAAGCCGTAGGAGATGGCGCCGCCGAGGATCTGGCCGAGGCGGAGGCCCAGGTACCAGAAGGAGAAGCGCGGGGCCTGCTCGGACTTGGTGTACCACTGGGAGCTGATAAGCATAAGGGACGGGCCGATGGTCGCCTCGAAGATTCCCAGGAAGACGCGCGAGACGAGCAGGGAGGTGTAGTTGTGGGCGGCGGCACCGCAGGCGGTCGCGGTGCCCCAGAGGATCACGTTGATGCCCAGCCATTTGGCGGCGGGAACCATCTGGAGAAAGTAGACTGCGGGGTGTGGGTGTCAGTGCATCCCTCTTTGCTTTTCTGAAGCCTCGTCCACGAGACCACGCTTTGCTTTTCTTCTTCCTCAAGCGAGGCGGGGGGATGAACGTACTGTTTGGAATCTCGAAGCACAACAAACCCACGAAGAGGAACGTGGCAATGTTGGAGAAGTCGTTTCCGACCAGCTTGAGGTCCTTGTTAAGACCCATCACGGCCGCGTACTGTTGTCACTCATCAGATTACTGTTTTACTCTCAGGAGATACGCCTGGATCGCAGAAGCAAGCGCCCGAAAGGGGGTGAGACGCACGTTGAGGATGACCTTGTCCAGGAACTGCATCGTGTAGCATCCGAACATGAGGGGCACGATGTGCCAGTCAATCTTGCGGCGGAGCGCATTGATGTCGACCGAGCTGGTGTCGCCGCCGGCCTCGCGGTGGTCGTTGAGGAACTTCCAGGCCCCGTCGACGGAGCCGGAGGACGAGGCATCGTGGTCGGACGCAGCCGAGCTCACGAGGTCCTTTGGGTTCTTCTCGTCCATGGACATGGCGTGTTTCTGGAACTAGGGTGTTTTCGAGAAAGAGGTTACAAAATAAAGTGAATTAAAGAAGAAAGCAATATGCAAGCGCAAAGTGGACGAGTGTGACGTGACGCCCTGGAATTACAAGCCCGGTACGACCCAAAGCACGATGTCTGTGATCGACGAGGAGGGCGCACAGGCTTCCGCTGCGGAGCTGCTGAACACTTAGAGTTTTGCTGATCAGCGAAAATAAAAGAGGTGTCAGATGGAAAAGAAAAAAAAGCGACGGCGAGGAAAATAAAACGCTGTCGGCCGAGAAGGGATGGGATGGGATGGTAGTAATGAAGAGAGGGAGGAAGAAGCAACGAGGGAGGACAAGAGCTGATTCGGCCGCTCTGATTAATCCTGCAAGTGTAACTGCTACCCCTGTTTACGTCGGGCAAGGTGATGTTCCCATTCAATTATGAATCTGGTTCCGATTCTGGTTCGAGGAGGGCCCAGAAGCACGGCGTTGTGGTTCTTGTTGGAGCAGCTTGGAAGATGCACCTCACACCAAGCTGCACGCAAGTGCTTGCTACTACATCCGCCCCCTCGTGGTGCAGCATTTTTCAACATTTCCTTTTAATGTAACCCATCCTGTGCCTCTGAAGCCAAGCCTCTAAGCTACCTGGGAGCTCGTAGTGCCGTACGGCGCAGCTCCCCGATCCCCGCCTGCATTTTGCAAGGTTTGCGCGGTCGGGGCGGAGGGAGGGGATTGCAGGGTACGAGGGGGGGACCCTGGATACCTTTTTCTCGACCAGGGCCGACCCTCGCCTCGTCACTCTCGCCAACGAGCTCACCTCACACCCCCCGGCCACCGATGCACGCAACCTGGACCTCCAGTTCGAGAGCCGAGCATCGCCGTCTACGGACGCATAGGATGAGACCAGTGACAAGGTGAATGATGCACCCTCAGCTGAGGACTGGATCCAGGTTGAAGGCGCAGAAACGGTGGGAACAAGAACAAGAGTGGCCGACGTTGCCAGCATCCCCGTCGAGGGCCCCATTGAAAGCAGTCCCATTCATATCCGGCCGCATCGCAGGTGAGCCTATGATCGAGCGCCAAAGCCAGAGCCGTCTGCTCCCATCTCGCCAGACCGGCCCGCTCTTCAGAGTGCGCGCGGGGATCCAGGCTGATGGTGGCGACGAAGGGGACGATGGTGAAGGAGCCCCATCACATTCCCCATCCGCAAGGCGGCGCTCTCTGCTGATTCTTATCTCCCCATCCACCGGAACGAGGTCCGTAATGTGGCGGCGTTGTTAAGAACGTCCACCTGAGAAACAGCAAACGGGTACTGAGCCCACCAGCTGGTCCTGAACAAGAGTCATGACGCAGGATTTCAGGACTCTGTTAACCACAAAAAAATGAGAGATAAAGTGCTTCGAAATCGTGGTCTCTGGGCGGGGGCAGTGCGACCGACCACGTTATTGTTGGGGGCGCCTTTTTTAATAACAGCAAGGCGGGCTCCCAAAGAGCGTGGACGGGCAGCGCGGTATTTGCTGGACATGCCAAAGTGTCAAATTTACGCTTCTGCCGTCGAACGATATTAATCTTCTGCCCGGGTCAGAGGTTCGCACGACATTGTGTCGAGCAGAAACTTTCGCCTCGCCTTGCCTTGGAGCAAAGAGGCGGCACAGCAATAGACGCACCGTTTGGACGGGTTTGACAGATACCGTCCGCTCGTCTGTTCCCGTCCCTCCCACTCCCCTCGCCTTTCTCGCCGCAATTGACCAGTGTGCCAGTCAAGTCTTCTTTTGGGAATTCGGAGGTGGTGTGCGGTCAATTTTTTTCGGCCATCTTTAGCTTCCAACGTTTCCATTCCCAGATCCAGATGCAGCTTGAACAGCGACAACCCATGTTCACACGCCGCCGTAGCTTGTTGCACCATCCCTCTCCAGGGACCGAAAGCGATAGCTTAATGTTCTTTTGTCATCCCGGCCTCCTGCCCCTTCGGATGGCACTCCGGACGGCATAATGGAAACCGTGGAAGCTTGGGAAGCGAAGGAAGAAGCAAAGGTTCGGAAACGAGACAAGCGTCTTTTTCTTGGCGGAGGATGCCAGTCTACACACGCACCCTTCCCCGACTTGCCTCAGCCAGAGACCACCGCCGGCGAGGAAGTCAAGCGATGCACCTGTGCATTCGCGGCGGGGACCTCGTTGATCCCCCAAATAAGCACCCAGGCTCCTCGGCTTTTCCAATGTCACCTTGCAGAGGTTAGAGAAGAGGGAATCCACCCGGAGTGGCATCGCTGATTTCCTCCGCGCTCCGTGAATATGCGGTGCGGGCCCGTTCATTGGCCATGCAAGGCCATGCCAGTCTTGGCCGCGCACGACTCCCGCGGCCTGGCAAAACCCTATCAAATTGTTCGGAATTGGCGTGAAAGATGCATCCTTGCGATAGTTGAGACATTTGAGGATCGGGAGTTTCCTTTGGCAAGGCACCCCTCAGCTGCGATGTTCTCTGCACGCCAGATCAAATCACTCCCACGACCCAAAAGATCCCTCCATCTCTCCTAGGTCCCCTACCTTACCCCGTCATCGACCACCACCCCCTCCTCCATCTGAAATGTCGTGACCCAGTCGGTAGCAGACTTGCAAAGGGGCTTACCGAAACTGCGGAAAGCTCGAGCGGGAAGACACCAAAAGCAACACTTGTCACTGGCCCAGCTGCCTTATTCGTGGTGGATAAGGTGATCTCCCAGCCAGCAGCACACAGAAAGGAGCAGGGCCAGAGGTAATAAAGATTAAAGCGGCTCCCCCCAGTCCGCGTCGATTCAACGCCCTCGTGGAGCTGAACGGTTCTTCGGCCTCTCCACCGTTGTCTGTTTGTTCCCTTGCTTCCCAAATCTGCAGGCTAGGCTTCTTCTTTACCAGTCCGCCGGCGCCTCCTCCAAAGTCCCCTTACTTGTTGGCTTGATTTATTCCCCTCTGGACCCTTCGCTGATTTCCTCGCGCGTGTTGGTCGTTGTCTTGTAAAGTTCGTTCATGTCTTGAAGCCACAAAGCGTGCGGCTCTTCTTCCCTATCGATCTAGTCTATTGGGTCACAAACGGCAGCTACCCGCAGCACATTACGCCATGGGCTGGGTATTGAACGCCACTCCCGAGGTCGAGGCCATCTCGCAGTGGCCGACCATCATCGCCATCTGCACCGTTCTGTCGGTGCTGTCAGTCCTCATCGTGGGGTCTCGACTGTACATCCGGCACACCGCCAGAGGTCTGGCTTCGGATGACTGGATGTCTCTGCTATCGGTGGTTTTTGCGCTCGCTTACTCGGGTCTTACTATCGGTCGTAAGTAACACAGCTGTCAGCGTCATGGATATCTTTTGACGATTACAGAAACGAGATATGGTCTCGGGTTGCCCATCAAGCTTCGTCCCCAGGCGAACTTGATTCAGTACACACGAATCAACTTTGCTGGCCGCCCGATCTACCAGATTGGGATCAGCTTCTTCAAGATTGCACTCTTGATCAGTTACCTGCGCCTGCTCAAAGGCACCGATCAGAAGAGTTACCGCCGGGTAGTCTGGATGACCATCATCATTGTGTTTATCGCTCACTTGGGATGCGCGTTTTCTCTCGTTTTTGCATGCACTCCTGTAAGAAGGTTTCATACCACTATGACCACACATTACTGACTTTCTCCCGATAGGTTGCCAGGTCATGGAACCCGACACTCCCTGGCACTTGTCTGGCCCCAGGCCCGTCTTTCACTGCGTACGCCGTGGTCACCATCGTCTCTGACGTGGTCGTGGCCCTACTCCCCATCCCGGTTCTTCTCAAGCTCAACATTCGCTTGGAGAAGAAGGTCGGCCTCATCGCCATTTTCCTGCTGGGTCTCTTCACGACGCTCTGCTCAATTCTGCGATACCTCGAAATCAATCGCATCCAATTTGGCGACGGAAACTCGACAATGCTGGTATTGTGGGGAACCATCGAGTTCAACGTTGGTGTAAGCAATTGCCAAGCCCCGGTTGTTCGTCTCATAATGCTAACGAGCGGCACAGAACATTGTTTCCTCACTCCCCTTCCTCGCACCCGTGTGCATGAAAAAGGCGAAAGACTACCGCTCGAAATACTCCGGTGGCTCCTCCCACGGACGCAGCGGGATGAAGCACGCCGAGCGGTACAAGCTCAGCGACATGAACCACGACAAGAGCGTCTTCGCCTCGGCGAACCACAGCAAGGGCGACAACGGCAGCGAGGAGAACATCCTCCCCGGCAACATCATGAAGTCCGTCACGTACAGCGTCCAGGTCGACGACAGAGTACAAGGCAAAGGGTCCACACGAAGGAGGGACTCGAAAGACTCGGTTTGAGTTTGGACGAAATGATTGTACGGTTGACACAGCGGCTACGGCACAATACATAAAGATGTACATGATAATGTGTAAGGGTATTAGAACAAGAATCGAGACATCGATAGATCTACAAACAGGCGTTCGGGGGGCATTTTCCCATCATCATCACCAGTTTCGATTTTTGTGAGCGATCACTTCCCATCAGGGGACTCCAAAGTCCGACCCCAGAGTTGCATCTAGACGAGGGAATCCTCAGTATCACCATCTTCCCGTCAGCGAATGCGACTCTCGATCGGAAATCATGAGCAGTAAAAATAGGGGACATGGACTGCACGGGCTGCTGATCGCTCTCCACCAGCCAACTGGGGCACAATTACGTGGCTCATGCTCATGATTCAATCCCCCTCCAGATCCCACTTCACGAGGAACATATGGGGAGTCGAACGATGGGCAATGCAAATCTTTTCCCACTCTTCATTCCCAAGAATGCGGTGTACGCGATGGCCACGGCGATGCACGTCTATTAATCTAAAGTGGTATCCTGAGTCTATCCTGAATCTATCTTACTCTTCATCAAAGTGAAGCTTCATCTCCCGCTTGCTGAGGAGCGGGCTCGTAGGGCTAATCTTGGGCCAGTCGTGCGCGTCCAGACAGGCCCGCCGCGACGCCAGCACGCCGGGCCGCGCT